GCCCATTCACCTAGCTGACACAAGAATTCACACCTTTCAGTGACTTTCCATTATAATATACTTTGGAAGCAAAACATTTTTAACACACTAAAAGATCTGTGAGCAATTATCCAGTTGCTTGTCCAAAATCGTCACCAGTTTTTGGTAAATAAAAGTTAATTGTTCAGCTACAAAGGAACTGATAAATCAGCTCAAACAACACAACAAAATGCAGTACATAAGCCAGTCATTTTTCTGGCAGCTTAGCTGGCTCAGAGCTTTCCTGTCAGTTTTTTAAAATTACTTCAGGAATTTAGTGTCTGGAATTCAAAACCGTGCAAGTCAGATGTTCTTTGTTAAGGCTGATCTGGTTCTGGTAACAACATCCATAAGACCAAACAAAAAGCACAGTTGCCTTACCTAGAATAACATGGTATTATCTAAAGTTATGAGGGCTTGATTCAGGAAATCACTTCTGGGTATGATTAAATCAGTCCTTATTCCAGACAGTCTATAAAAATCCCTTTTTAACTTTCATCCTGGACTTTGAGAGTCCTGTTGACTTTCATGTGTTGAAGAAAGTTTCCTGAGGCTAAGGCAAGTACTTATATATTATTCTGAAGAGGGATGATTTTGAATGGGGTGGAAAAGATTGCATTTTTCATAAATACAGTCATAGGAAGCTTGTCTTCCATTCTTTAGTTCAGTCCTAATGTTTTGGGTTATTTTCTGGCAATAAAAGAGGTCCCAGAGAACAGGCTCTGCCCTCAGAGGACATAAGATGTTTAAGTCACACCATCCTGCTTGCAACCTTCTTTACCTAGTTCAGTTTCAACGTGAATTTTGTTGACAGTAAAGCAAGAACGTGGGTTTTATGCCCAGTAGGACCCAAGCCCTGAGTGCTGTTTCAGGCCTGCAAAGTGTCACAGCACAGCAGTTTTCTGGCTGTGCTTTCAGTGTATGTTTCTTCTAACAGCCTTGGTTTAAGAGGGCTCTTACTCATGTGTGTAAGTCCAGCACTGCAATTTTTTTCCCTAGAATTATTTTCCTCCAGTGGACGTGGAATTGCATCTCTGTACAACTGACAAGACAAAAAAGACAAGTTAGAAAAACAGCAAAAAGAACCTTTAAACATGGTACTGCCTTTCTACCTAGAACTGCAAGCTAAAACACGACCCTGCCCTGCAAAGCTGCTGCCCGCACAAGAAGTGAAATATTGGTGGATGCGAAGCCACAGTGAGAAATAGGGAAGGGTTGGGCACAGCTAAAGCTTGGATCAGCTGGTGACCTCACCAAGAGGCAGGACAAAACAACAACACACAAACTGCGTTGCAGCCTAGACTGCTCAGCTCCCACCCTGCCTGAATAAAGAACAGGGTGTTTGCAAGTGCTTTGCATTAACTGCGGGTGTGGCACTGCTGTGCTTTACGAAGCTGAACTGGCTGCAGCTGCAATACAGGAGGGACTGGTCCCAGTCAGGGGTCAGGAGCACAGAGGGGATGGGAGAGCAGGGAAGCCACAGGTGCTATCACCTCCTCACAGAAGAGAGAGCTAAACACAGCTAGTAGTTGGTTTGAACAGTAAAGACAAATATTTTTCTGCCTTCTTGTAATAAGCAACTGCATTTGTTTACCAAGCTGCGCAGCACCAGGAGGCAGAAACCTGCAGTGGGGAGGGGGCAGGAGGAGGAGGAGGTGATAAAGGTTATGGGAAGGGCAGGAATCTGCAAAAACCATCTGTTGCTTTTGCAAACAGCAGTCAATAAAGTGGTTTCCTTTAATAGCCCGTGATTGCCGTTGCAGAGTTAGGTGAGAGCAGGAGCGTGGGCTCACGGCCAGCCCACACCTTGGCTGTGTGTGCAGACACAGCGCGGGGTGGGGAGCCCTGCCTGCAGGAGCTGGTCCTGAGCAGCTGCCCAAGCCCAGCTCTTTCCACATCCTCAGCAACCACAGCTCCACCAGCCACAACCAGCTGAAGCATCCAAAGATACGCGAGCTTTCCCTGCCCGTGCTCAGAGGCATTAGAATTAGCAGGGATTCAGGCACAGGTCGCTTTCCAGGGAGCTTTGCAGGCTGTACACAATATTTTCTACCTGGTACGTGAGAACTTCCACGGATTTCAGCAGCATAACTGCAGAAACTGGAGGTGAGGAAATTTCTTCCCATTATCAGTTTGATACATGGCCAAGATACAAACCCTTTATGAGCAAAACTCTCATTGAGACGCACAGAAAGGCACCACAGTCCTGCAAAATCTCAAACACTGCAGGATCCATATTAATTTTAAATGACTCTGTTGAAAGCAATCTCTGATAGTCTGTTATTCCAGCCATCGTGGTAAGGAAGGAGAAGACTGTGACTTAAGACCAGAGATATCTGCAAAAATGTTTACATACAGGAAAGAACTGCTGTCAGTCAATCCAATAGTTTGTTGTATTTTCCTGGCAGCTTGCTAGTGAAGATATGTTAAATCATGTATTTGTTACACGGACTTTGGGGATTATTTGCCAAATCTAAACTTATTCTGTAGTGGAAAATTTGAGATAAAATGAAAGAGCCAAATCTTTCAATCCTTGTTCAGATGATACTCATACTAATTTCAAATTTTGAAGGTTGTGTTCAATATATGGCCCTTGTGCTTAGACCTGAAAGCTGGAGCTAAAGAGCTGTGTAGATGTGACCTAGTTTTTAGTCAGTAAAGCCAGTCTCCCTTTTTACTGAACAACAGGACAGACTGATTTTGTTTCAGTGTAACAAACTGGAAATTTTATGCTTTGTTTATGATTATTGATAGGACAAAACTTTCAAAAGTATCTTTGTCTTTTCTACAGCTTATCAACAGTGTCATTAGGCACAAACAAACTCAGGGGTCTTATTCAGTATTTTCCAGGCAAATAATAACCCCAGGTCTGTTCCCTGTGGTATGCAAAGGCTCAGTTCTGTGACACCTGCCAACTGTGTTCCAGGTGGAAGGAAAGGTCACAGGAACACCTTACCTGTCTGAAGCTTTGGGTTTTTATATTTTCTCACTTGGTTTCACATAAAATGAGGGCTCTTATATCTAGGAGGATGCTGACAGGCAAAGTCGTGGTACTGCATCAGTGTGAATAAAAACAAAACAAGGGCTTTGCTGTCACAGGGATGAAGAACCAAGAATTTCCTGGAAGAGATCTCTTTGCCAGCTTTACATTAGGTTTCATTCACTTAGTGCCATTTAGTGCATAAATTCAAATAACATTTCCCTGAGAAATGAAGAGCTATATTCAGCCAGCCAAGTTGCACCTTAATCTCTGTGCCTAGTCAGCAGAAACAAATACTGGTCCCCTAAAGAGCTTAAGTAAGACATTGAGCAAGGAAGCTGTCAAGCTTGAAGGTAGTAGGAGGTGTGGGGCAGAGAGACTTAGCCTGGCTGAGTCTGTTGCATATCAGGGCAATGGGCCCATGGGAATAAAGTTAATATTCTCCACTGAATAAGCAATGCCTCAATTTCTTCAGTATTTGGAGGTATAATAATAGAACCTGCTCTCCTGAAATCAGTCTGTCTGCCAGGTGCATTGATAATTTGACAAATCAGTTGATTGGGGACAATGACAAAGGAAGGAATGACTGCTCCACACGGATTGTTTTGCAACCTTCAGTGACACTAAAGAGGATTTGTAGGGCACAGCAAGTTAAATATGGTACATGACCTAACATCACCCTTGTTAATTGGTGTTAGACAGATACCAGAGCATCTTTGCCTTGTTGCCTTTGTGTTTGCAATGGACTCTGTACAATCCTTCTGGTCTGGATGGATGTTTTTTAAAATTTTCCAGCTGAGCAAATGCTTTGAAGCAGGTGCTAATTAAAGAGCTAGGACAGGAGTTTCTACATCATCCAACATGTTTTTTTAAGTTTAAATATATTAAGATCTAAGCAGTTTATTGCTGTGAATACATTGTCTAAAAAGGTATTCAAAACTTCAATCAAGATAAAGTTGAGGAATTCCCTAGCTGTTAACTGCTGTCATTGTTTTATGTTGTCAGTTCTTGTAATATTTCGCTGTTCATGTACTGAAAATGTCAAACTTGTAGCCTTCAAATTGTTTTGTGGTTGCTGATGTTGCAATGACAAATGGTCTTTTTAAACAAACAAGTAATGTTTATGCTGCTAAAGCTGGATTTTAAGTAGTCACTAATCAAATCCTGCAGTATTTCTGTAATCTCCTTTTTACTTCTGCTATAGTTCTAGCCCAAGTCTATACAAAATTTATCTAGCAGAAATATTGAGGAGGTTCAGGTTCAGTCACTTTCACTAGATGACATTCCAGTAAAAGTAAGGTATTGTTCATAAAACTGGAATATTCAAAGATCAGTATTTGCAAAGAAAGTGTCTATTAGACTAGTTTTTTATTATCTCTGTCTGCACACTGGCTAAGAGTCATTTTAATCATAGAAGTGATGCAACTGTTTTGGGGCAGAAACTGGAATGGTCAAATTACCATAATTGGGTCAAAAGATAAAATTCCAAACTCCAAGCAAAGTGCTGGAGACCCATTCTTTGGCTGAAATTCCACCTTTGAGTGTTCTGGAGCATCAGACAATGTTTCAAGTTATAAAGTTAGGGGCAGTGTTGGTATTTGAATCACAGAGGTACCAGTCCCAAAAGCAGCAGATGGCATCAGTTACGCTGGACGAGCCGTGTAGAGCCTCAAGCCCCCATGGAGTTATCCAGCTCAGGGACTGATGCTGATGCCCATGTGCACCTTCAACTTGCAGCAGACCATGGTGGCTCTGTCCCATGAGCAGCTGCCTTCCCTGTAACCCATCCTACAACAACCTGTTGAAGGCCAGGTGGATGGCAGGTCAAGGTGACAATGGTTTCCCCTGTATTCAAACTGCAAATTCTGCACCTGCCTGCTGTTTGCTGATGCCTGCAATGCTGTTGCTGGATTGAATTGCTGTTGCTGGTTTCCCTTGCAGCTCTGAAGCTTTTGTGGGTTGGTTGGCACGTTAATGATTTATCCATTGCTGCTCCATTTAGGGCCCTGGTGTTTATTGCCCATGGGGCTGGGGAGCACTGCGGCCGCTACGATGACTTGGCACAGAAGCTGACAGGACTCAACTTGTTTGTGTTTGCCCATGACCATGGTGAGTAGTCTACAACTGTACTTGATTTACAAGCCTGTGCTGAAGTAAATGCCATTACAGCTACTCAGCAGTGAGAGGAGAGCCAATAAAATATTTATAACTAGACATAAATGAGAAAGGGATTATCTGTTGCTTTGTCAAGAGCTGCATGTTGAATCTGTAAAAGCTATCCCTGTTTGCTTTGAGTTTTCCTTAGCCTTGCTCTTAACATTACTGCTGGTGCTATTTTGACCTCACTCTAAGGGATTATTTCTCTTTCACCTGTCTCTTGGGGTTGAAGTGGAATTGTCCACTGTGAAAGTGGGACTAGGAGCCATTTCTGCTGGGTTCACTGTCAATGTTCTAAGTGATCCCAGACAGGTGGCTGAAATGTCAGCATGGCTTTTGTATACTGACACAATGAGACAGAGGCACCCTTGAAACATGGAGAGACAAGAAGGCATCACAGACACCTCTGGGCACATCTCCACAGTCCAGCAGAGAGACTGGAGCTGGCTGTGCACCCCTCAACTCTGAGGAGAAACCAGCCTGAGTGGGTGCAAGGCTGTGGCAACACAGCAGCACCCCTTTGGCCCTCAGCCAGCAGGGTGGGCAGTGCTGGGCCAGGTACACTTACCTGTCCCTGCCTCTTCTTGCTTGAAGGTCTCTGCTCTGTGCCCCACGCTGTGGTGGAGATGTGCTGGGTGTCACCAGGTCTCCTGCAATGCATGGATCAGGACATCCCAGTAACATATTTGAACTATCCTGGCTCTCTGGTAGCCTCCTGTCACACATCACACTTGCAAATTCATAACTTCCTTGTGCTTGGAGATCTCTGCTTTGACTTTATCATTGCAGACTGCTGCTCCCTGTGACAGCCACTCTGTCAGTATCAGTATCAGCAAAATGAATCAATGGGATTGATGATGGCAGCAGACAAAATGCAAGGCCAAATTCTGAGCTGACAGGTTGAAATGGGATGAATCTTTGTGTAAATCTGACGTCCTTTGGGCAGATTATCCACTGACATTGGGAAGTATACTGCAATTTTCTTGGCTGAAGCCAAGACTCAAACCTGCCCCTAGGTCTCCTCAAAGACAGAACTGTTTAATTTGAGTTTGAAGATCTTGAATGTATGTGAGTCATTGCACCATTTATCTGTGAGAGGAAAGGCAAAACCTTATTTAATCTAGGTACCAAGGCTTTCCCTTGCTCTTGCTCTTGTGACTCACTTTCAGTCACAGCACTGCACTTGATGTGCAGAAATGACTCCTCTATTTTCTCTGAAAAAGATAATATCTAGTTCTCGATATAGCTTGCAAGGAAAATAAGTAAAACCCATGTGACTTTTTTTTTTTAACAATTGATCACATGCCACGTTTGAGGCTGGCTTTGCAAAGGGAGGCGACCTGTGCAGAAGTGTCCTTACTCACCACCTCAGTCTCTCTCTCCCTCTGTAGGCAGAGCGTTTCTGAGTGTTGATTCATTCATTTGGATACACTGCTTTCTGAGCTGGAGGGAGGCTAGCAGGAGTCTGCAGAAATCCCAGTAGGAAGTGTCTCCATGCCCCTCTGTGTGTCTGTATGGAATAAAGTTCATGGGAAGGGGGATGGAACAGGCCACATGCTGCTCTTAGCAGACCACAGCCAGTCCATACAAAACCTCACTGAACTCCAGGATACACAAACAACTTGTTCAGTCTCCGTGAGCCTGTGAGGGACTGCAGTTGCTCTCTGTGCATACTTAACACCATGCCTCAGCTCCTCATTCCCATAAAGCTTGATAAAGGTTTTAAGCAGAGTTAAAATAGCAATAATTGAAGCAACAAATCTAGAAGAAATGATAAAACATTGTATTTATCACATGGATTTGATACAGAGAATGCCTCCTCTGTTGATGGAGAAGGGTTTTTGAGGTTAATGTTCCTGTTAGGCGTGTTTTGTGCTATGTGATTATTTGCTGTCTTTTTTCTTGAATATATTTTTCACTAGAGAAACATAAATATTTCTTGGTGTTTTGGGTATTGCTGGATTAAACAGTGCAATTAGTACAAATCTGGTTTCTCAGGTCAGTTAACAACTTTGTTCTCCCTGTCAGACCTACAGTTTTGTTTGTAAATTCCATTTTCCTGATCAGAAAAGACAAGAGGGTGAAAAGGAAGCTGAAAGCAGAACAATGGAAACACAGTTTTGTTACACAAAGAGCTGATCTAACTGAGCCTTGATTCACTGTAAATTAGAAAGACAATAAACATCTTTTAAGCTCTGTATAATAATCTTTGCACTTAAAGAGGCAACCACCAAGGATAAACTTCGATGAAATACAAATTACAGCCTGAGCTGAAGAACATAATCAGTCCATTGCTAAAACTTTTCTGGTCAGACTGGGAGGTTTAATGTTTTCCTCCACTATTTTATCTATTCCAAATCACTTCAGCAGTGTGTTCCCCTTTGTGTCCTTTCCTTTGGATATCTTTGGGTAATATCAATTATTCAATTGTGTTAGCACTACAATAGCTGTCTGTTCCCTACCATGGCTCTTAGTCCTATGAGCTCAGTGTAGACTTCCTGACCTGGATATTTGGTTCTGGTATTCTCATATCTCATTCTCTGGATAAAATTCCCAATACAGGTGCATTATCCATGAGATCATTAGTGCAGTTCCACGGCGTGGCAAGCGTGATTTCCCAAATGACTCGGGAAGTTACCAGGGCTGTAGTATGCGTGACTTGACTGATTTATGTTGTGTCTATCCTTCAGTCAAAAGAAGGAAAAATAATTTCCATTTTTATTGCTGACTCTGTAGGAGCTCACACATGGGCTCTAAATCTTGCCAAAGGCTGCTCTGCATCAGTGTTTCCTCTTATGCAAGGCTTCGCCAAAAAGGTGCTTCACAGAGTAACAAACACTGTGCTCTCCAATTTGTGTCTTAGTATTGCCACATGTAAAGTATTTCTGCCTCACTCCTCACAGTATATGTTCAAAATTTGAGCATTTACTCTTTGGGATATTTCGTTGTAATCACAAGACTGCTGGACCTCATAGATATGTATTAGAAATTTTCTGTAGTGATGGTGGAAATTGAATTCCAGAAGACCTCTTAACCTTACCTTACATCTAATATTATTAAATGGCTTTGGTTTACATCAACCCTGTGAAAGAGGAAAATGGAATTTCTGTGTAATACAGCATTTTTTTCCTGTGGTCTCTTATAAGGTGTTTTTAACAGGCAGCTAACTGTTTCCCATGATTTCTGGGTTTGCTTGGCAGGCAGCTTCATGAAGGCAGAATTAAGGCTGCTGGGATGAGCTTGTTATTTCTGCAGGTTTAGGTATTTTGAAACAACATCTCACCTTTTCGACTTCATTTCTGTATTACTGTTATTTTATTATGGCAAGATTGTGATGACAGAAGAAAGAGGCAAACATAATTGGTTATTGGCAATCAATTTGGGAAAGCTTTCTTAGAAAGAATACCTGCAGGGGATTCATCAGAGTGGAGCAATATTGCAATTCTTCAGTCAGCTGCAGATTGCAGCTTCTTTAGTTTTAACACAGTAATTTTAGGAATCTGTAAAGCTGAGAGCCAAGGAAAATGAGAATAAAGGCTAGAGAATGTGGCTTTGTTTTGTCATACCAAGCATTTTGAGTTGGTAAAGCACATGATGTTCCAGCCATCCTTGTCTCTCTGCCTATAACATCTCATTTGCTGAGATCTAATGCACTGTGGTTGCATTACATGGCCAGAGCCTAGAAAAACCACAATTTCACCTTCAAAAGTACATGTCAACTAATAGCAGTCAGAAACACATTTCCAAGATACAGGGACCACAAAAATGTGTTCATTTTTTTCTTACACTTTAATCATCGTTGAAATTAGCCCTTATTCTCACTTGGACTTGCTCATGCTACTTATGGCTATTGTGTATGTCTTCCATGAAGATGAGGAGGATGAAATACTCAGCCCTAGCCACCAGATTCACTTCCATCCTGCATTCTCCAGGGGGAATAAACCCTCTACCTGTCCTGGTACATGAAGACCTTTGACTGTTTCACCCTTTCTGAAGCTGTTGAATTTCCCACTCTTGAGTTACATTTAATGTCAGATCAAAGCAGAGGGAAAGGTTGCAGCTCTAACAGCTTATTCACATTCCTTAGATGTTTCTAACTGAAGTTCAGCTTGCTTTGGCAGCCCTGCTGCTGCTTTGTGTGTGGTGAGCATTTCTGACGGGTTAGCAGGTCCCTCTCAGACACCCACTGGTGCTTCTTCTCTCCATTAATTTTCTCACTGCTTTCTCTGTTTAATGAAGGATTTATTTCTAAAATGTAGAAAATAGCTGGAGCAGATATTTTTAAATGCATCAAATATTAGCTGCTTTTGTTTTGGTTTTTTTTTTCCAAGTGATTGCTATGTTGTTCTTGCAACTGTTAAAAGACCATTTTGTTGATGAGAACAGAAGGCTTTTATTTATTCATAGCACTGGGAAGGATTGGTCTACACAGAAAGATTAAAAAGAACTAAACATGGTCAAACTGGAAGGGGAAAATTACCAAGGATGTCAGAATTAATAAGAACAAGAGTTAGGGTAGCACTGCAAGTGTGAAGTAACAGCTCATGTACATTAGCAGGAATGTTCTGGACAGCAGCATTCCCTGACATTGTGATTGGGCAGGCTTCAGAACAGTCTTCAGGAATGGAGTCAGGAAAGCTTTGGCAAATGTTATTTGGAGCTGGTTTGCCCATGGAGCAGCACCACTGCTCTCTGCTTCCTCTGGATGAGCCCACTGCATTGGAGCAGGGAAGGTTTGAAGTGCTTTTCTGCAGAGCTGTGGGAAAGAATGGCACTCAGTATTTGCTTTCCTTTGACAGGAGGCTTACGGTGGGCATTTTCACTTTTTTTTCAGCTGAGAGCTATAGGTTCCTCTCAGCAGGGGACTCCAGAGGAGGTGGCTCTTTGCCCTGGCTGGTAGAGTACTGCCAGTGCTGTTTTATCCCTGCTTTGACTCCCTACTCAGTATAATC